TTTCATAGAAATATTTTACATTATAAATTACATTTAAATGTAGTTTACCTAATGGGTACATAAGAGCTACATACATAAAGGAGATGCATATGCATCTACACATGTGTAACATGTTTACATATAATGAATACTATTTTAAAGTACTAATTCAATATAGTTAATATTTATTAATACTAATATTATATAGTTCAAGAAGTAAATGACCAAATTTTATTTGTTTGTTATATGATTAAAATTTCAATAATTTTATGCGTATCTAGTTTTCTATTTAACCAAATTTCACCACAGAGAACAGCGCTTGCGCATTGTAGTAAACTTCCAACTGGCATAAAATTTCACATCTAACTCTACCCCCACATAGCTCCTAGCCGGAATCCGTGGATCTATTCGGGTGGCCCCCTGTCGCCGATTAGCGGTTCGCGCAAGCGCAGCCAGCTCTTCTGGTTAGAGTGTCCATTTTGATCACATGTGAGTATCTCCAGTCTGTTCTCCTTTTTTCACGGTGAGTCTAGCTGATCGGCTTGTGATCACTCGAACAAGTTCATAAAACGTGCGTTGAAAAATCCCGAGAACAAAGAACGACATTATTTGAAGTCAGTTCGTATCCGTGTTTCCTTAAACGTTCTCCGAGAGTCGGCAACTTCGACGACGAACCGCACACAATCCTTTTCGCGCCATCTTCTCGAAGAAAACGGTCAAAAAACCACAGTAAACTCGTCCTCGAAGGTAATTCCACTTTCGTGAGGCTTTCCAATTGATTTTTCATAGAAAAGCTTTAATAACCGCAGAACTGTCAGCCGGGTTGAATCTTTGGTTAGACTGTGCTTGCACAACGTGTTCGTTTTCTTTTCGTTCGCTTTCTTAAAAGCTTTTAAAAGCTTTTTGCGTTTTAAGCTTATTCTACTAACGTTTTCCAAGATCGATTACTTACTTGATATTTAAGTTATCTTTTCTTGTGGTTTTTGTTTGTAATATCTTCGAAACACTTGCCTTTTTTGAAATTTTGAGTACCTCATTTCATGCTATAAAACATATTCCTTAGTGTTCTAAGCAATTTTGGTGAAAGAAGTAACTGTATCGTTTATTTATAATGTAAATTTGTTGTTGCATGGTGTAATAAAAGTATCAATATACATTTTAATTATGAAGAAGTAATAATAAAAGTGACCAAGGTATTACATCTCAAAACATATTGTGAAGGATTAAATAGTTCCATGTTTTGTATTTATATTTCATTTTGGTACATCTATTTTGATTTATTTTCAATGTTTTACATAATAGAACAAAAGATTGTTTTATGTGATACTATATTTTTATAAAGTCCTTTTATTAATATTATCTATATTGGTATTGTAAGTCCTATTTGTGTTTGAAATAGTATTTTTGATGACTTCCATTAATATTTGTAATGAATGTAACTTTTATTAATGACCAACTGCATTCCATATGTTAATTTTGGAAGAATTATAATATTCAAGAAACTTGGAAAATGTTGTCTTAAAATGCATTTATACATTCCAGGGAGTATCTGGCATTTTCTGATTTCTTATATATTTTGAAAGAACATTCTAAAAAATATCTTTACTTTGTAATGAAATTGTGATTTTTTATGTCATTGTACTTTCTAGTGTTAAATCACAAATTAAAAGATTATTATATCTTTTTTAGAAAACTAATTAGCTTATCAGTTGTTTTTATAAATTCAGTAGTGTCCTTTATTATTTTTGCTAATTGTTGAAATTTCATGTTACAACAATTTCTTGCTAATTACAACATTGTAAAGGAATGCATTAACTTCATAAATATGATGTACACATATATAAAATTTAATGCATAAAATATATAAAAATAACTTTCACACTTGACTTTAAATTTATGAAATTATTAAGAAACTAATAACATTTTTTCTTGTGTAATTTGTTTAAAAATTTTTTAGAATCATTTATTGTTATTAAATATATCACTTTGTAATTTTTATTATTCATTTGATATTTGAAATTCATTGACAATGCGCTTTAAATCAAAATTTTAGAGTAACTAAAAGCAAGGATGGCAGACATAGAGGATACTCATTTCGAGACTGGAGACTCTGGTGCTTCTGTTACTTACCCAATGCAATGTTCAGCTCTGCGCAAAAATGGGTTTGTAATGCTTAGGTCTCGGCCATGCAAAATCGTAGAAATGTCAACTTCTAAAACAGGAAAACATGGCCATGCCAAAGTACATCTTGTAGGCATTGACATATTCACTTCAAAAAAGTATGAAGATATTTGTCCCTCTACGCACAACATGGACGTGCCGTTTGTTAAACGAGAAGATTATCAGGTATTTAAAAGCATTTTACATTAGACTAATAATTTTTAAAATAATTATATATTATTTCTATTACATTTTGTATTGTATTTCTGTGTTAATTATTTATTTTTAAACTTTTATTGCATTGAGTTTATTGTAATCTTTTAGAGTTTAAAAATAATCATAAGAATGTAAAATCTTAAAAATATTTTCAGGTTTCTATTGTTTATTAATAGTTGACTCCTTAAGTAGCTTGTTTTCTTAATAATTCCTAATAAATGTAACATGCGTGTACATTAATATTTTAGCTAGCAGACATATCCGACGATGGTTACCTATGCCTGATGGCTGATAATGGTGAACTCCGTGAGGATTTAAAAATTCCTGATGGTGAATTGGGTACTCAGTTACGTGCTGATCATGAGGCTGGAAAGGAGCTTCTTGTAAGTATTGTTTAAATTTTTTATTTCGTTTTTTCTTCAAAGTATTATATTCATTTAAATATTATTTTTTATAAATATTATTATTAATAGAGAACATTACTATTATTATATTATGTAGCTTATAGGTAAAGGAATTATGCAAATAGTATAAATTTATAATTAAGTTCAGAAATTTAATTTGTTTATAAAATTATTTTTTGAAAATTTTAAAGTTTGTGCATGTATACTTTTATGTATCCTGCATTATTTATTTAACATACAAATTATCCTGTATTTTAAACAATTTTTTAAAAATTTTGCAAAATGTAATATAGTATTCTTTAACTTTATTTATTGTCCATCTACTTTACCATGTATAAAAATTCTACTCAATTTCCGTTATGTAATTCCTTTATAAAACAAGACAATTAAAAACCTACGTTTATATTGATAGAAAAATTAAAGCAAAATAAAATTTTATTTTTGCAGTGCACTGTACTGAAGGCATGTGGTGAAGAGGTTGTGATCGCCATCAAAACTAACACTGCCATCGATAAATAATTGTGTTCAGTCCAGACTCCACCATCACATTAAAGAAAAAACAAAACACACACAGCTAATATATTATTAAGAGAAACCTAAGATACAATACAAGATGATCAATGGTTAACATAAGAACAACTACCAACAAATAGAGAGGAAAAGAGTGGGGGGCACTTGAAAAAGGATAAAAAGAAGGGAAAAGATATAAGAACAATGAAAAGGAAGAGAAACATATAACTTAAAAAAAAAAAAAAAAAAAAAAAAAAAAAAAAAAAAAAAGAGAGAGAGAGGAAAAGAAAAACAAACGTGCGCAAGCGTAAGTGTGAGAAAAGAGAGGATTACAAATAATGAAATAATTGCAAAAAAAAAATAAAAAAAACAAATAAAAAGAGAATAATCCAAGAAACAGTATCAGCTTAGATCTTGGAAAAAGTGAATGTCTTTGGCGGCTTAAAATGTTGAGATTAAAAGGCAGTTTTGACAGTGGGAAATTTTGAAAAAGGACTATTTCGCTTTGATTTGTGATTTCTAAAATTTCAACATGATTAGAATTCTACTTCTATTGGAATTCCAGTTTTCATGATAACATACAATTCTAACTGAAATTATAATTTTATTGAAATTCCAGTACTTCTAGAATTCTAATTATCTAAAAATTTTGTTCCCTTACAATAACCCTTTCTCTCTTTATACTTAAATTGAAGTTGCAATTCCATTAAAAGTTTGGTTTTTTTAATTTTTGTTGTACTGAAATTTCACTTCTATTGGAACAGATGGAATTCCAATTTTATTAGAATTCTCTTACAATATCCCATATTTGTTAGAATTCTAATTTTTTTCCATTCAAATTTATCAATTCTTTTTTTATTAAAATT